GGAATAGAATAGAATAGAACAGAATAGAAAATAAGATATAATAGAATAGAATAAGAAATAGAATAGAATAGAATAGAACAGAATAATAGAACAGAAAATAAAATAGAATGGAAGATAGAATAGAATAGAATAAGGAATAGAATAGAATAGAATAGAATAGAATAATAGAACAGAAAATAAGATAGAATAGAATAGAATAAGAAATAGAATAGAATAGAATAGAATAGAATAGAATAGAATAATAGAACAGAAAATAAAATAGAATGGAAGATAGAATAGAATAGAAAATGGAAAATAGAATAGAATAGAATAGAATAAGGAATAGAATAGAATAGAATAGAATATATGAAAGAATAGAATAGAATAGAATAGAATAGAAGCTGGAAGGGACCTTGGAGGTCTTCTAGTCCAGCCACAATGAATTCATCGGTAATGCAGTCATGTTTGATCAGCAGAAAATATAAGATACATTTTTTAATTTTCCTTCCTAGTTTATATTTGAATTTTTAAAGTGTCTTTTCTTTTTAAGATTAGTTTTGTTTTCTTACTAAAAAAAAATTACAAAAAAGTGAATTGATTAGAAATCCAGTGTCGATCGATAAGTAGAAAAATAGGTGATTTTTTTTCTTCTCTTGACCTAGACTGCAGTTTTCATTTTTCTAAGTCCCTTTTAAGATTTGTTTTCTTACTAAAAAAAATACTAAAAGTGAATTCACTGCAAATCCGGTGACGATTGATAAAACAGAAAAACAGAAAACCCATTTTTAAATCTCCTTTTCTAGTTTGTGTTGAAAATATTAAAGATTAGAAATACTAAATTAAAAATGTTAAAAGTACAGCAAGCCAAAAACAACAAGCTTGCGAGGTAGGTTGGTCCCAGGGGAGCTTCTCTAGCAGAGGGAGACCATAAATGGAGCCTTCCCAATTGGAGCCCACCAAAGCAGGTTGGGTCTCATCCAAAAGTTGAAGGACCTGATTCCCTAAGTCTCCAGATGTGTCGGGAGGACGACTACTGTCCTACCCATGTTGGGGACACAATTATGGAAGTTCTGAACCCAACCCAACATCTAGAAGCCACCAGAGTGGAGAAGATAAGACCAGATCTAGCCCACTGTGGTTCACTAAGTCTCCAGATGTGTCAGGAGGACGATTGCTGTCCTACCCACGTTGGGGACACAATTATGGAAGTTCTGATCCCATCCCAACATCTAGAAGCCACCACAGTGGAGAAGATAAGACCAGATCTAGCCCATTGTGGTTCCTTCAGGGGAACCCTCACCCATCCTTCTGAGGAACCAGCCTCTTCCTTTCCCAGCATTCCTTGTTCCACTCAAGATCCATCCCCCCTTCCTCCTTGAGGACACCTGACCTTGGGGATCTCTCCCTTGGACCCCGGGGGCAGCCTTAGGACCCAGAAGTTGCGGTTCTTGAGAAGGTTCTCCATGTTCTCCAGTCTCCTCTGCAGGAGGCCGTATTCTTGAATGAGGGTGCCCAGAACGGCCCACTAAATCAGGTTCAAAAAGTTGAAGGACTTGATTCCCTAAGTCTCCAGATGTGTTGGGAGGGCGACCCCTGTCCCACCCATGCTGGGGACACAATTATGGAAGTTCTGATCCCAACCCAACATCTAGAAGGCACCACGGTGGAGAAGATAAGTCCAGATCTAGCCCAATGTGGTTCCCTAAGTCTCCACATGTGTCAGGAGGATGATTGCTGTCCTACCCATGTTGGGGACACAATTATGGAAGTTCTGAACCCAACCCAACATCTAGAAGCCACCACAATGGAGAAGATAAGACCAGATCTAGCCCAATGTGGTTCCCTAAGTCTCCAGATGTGTCAGGAGGATGATTGCTGTCCTACCCATGTTGGGGACACAATTATGGAATTTCTGATCCCAACCCAACATCCAGAAGCCACCACAATGGAGAAGATAAGTCCAGATCTAGCCCATTGTGGTTCCCTAAGTCTCCAGATGTGTCAGGAGGACGACTGCTGTCCTACCCATGTTGGGGACACAATTATGGAAGTTCTGATCCCAACCCAACATCTAGAAGCCACCACGGTGGAGAAGATAAGTCCAGATCTAGCCCATTGTGGTTCCCTAAGTCTCCAGATGTGTCAGGAGGACGATTGCTGTCCTACCCATGTTGGGGACACAATTATGGAAGTTCTGAACCCAACCCAACATCTAGAAGCCACCACAATGGAGAAGATAAGACCAGATCTAGCCCATTGTGGTTCCTTCAGGAGAACCCTCACCCATCCCTTCTGAGGAACCAGCCTCTTCCTTTCCCAGCATTCCTTGTTCCACTCAAGATCCATCCCCCCTTCCTCCTTGAGGACACCTGACCTTGGGGATCTCTCCCTTGGACCCCGGGGGCAGCCTCAGGACCCAGAAGTTGCGGTTCTTGAGAAGGTTCTCCATGTTCTCCAGTCTCCTCTGCAGGAGGCCGTATTCTTGAATGAGGGTGCCCAGGACGGCCCACTTGTTCTCCAGTTGGTTGCCGAACTCCATAGCTGTCTTCTCACAATCCAAAAGTTTCTTCTCGGCCGTCCCGGACCGGCCCTCCAGGCTGAGCAGACGGGTGGCCAACAGGTCAATCTTCCTCTCCATGGCTTGGACGGTGGCCACCACGCTCCAGAGGGAGGCCTCGGCGGTGTGCAGTTGCGCTTCTCGCATGTGGCTCAGCTCGGGGACCAGCGGGGGCTGAAGAGGCATGAGATGTTGGGCCTCCACGTTCCATTCCTGGAGCTGGAGAAGACCAAGGGTGGAGATTGAGAAGATACGTCAACCCTTGTTGAGTGGCCTTCACCAAGGAACCTTCAAGCAGCTAGCCCTCAGCTTACAACGATGGCCTCAAAGTTACAACGGCGCCACAAAAAGGACCCTTTCTCACCCTTACGACCGTTGCAGCCTCTGCACGGTCACAAAACGAGACACTTGGCCACCGACTCGCATTTATGACGGACTGCAAGGCCAGGTCGTTCCCCCTTTCACGAGCTTTGCAAGGATTCACTTAACGACGTGGGAATAACGGACGTAAAATGGGGGCGAAACTCACCGAGCAACGGTCGGGTTTACCGATGGGAAATTTGTGATCCTAAGTCAAGTCAAGGACTTCACAAGTGTGACAAAAGAGGCTGTAAAAGGGGGCAAAACCCACTTAGCCCCGTTTCACTTAGCGACGGTTATTCTGGGCTCAAAAAGTCGAGGACTCTCTGTATTTCAGCCCATCCGATTGAGGCCACCCTGCTCGGACCGAACGATTGGCCCGCGATCACAACCAAAGGGAGCGGACGCAAATTTGAGTTCATTTCCGCACCGCTTCCTGAGGACTAGAAACCTGCATTAAATGGGGGAGCCCTATATTTTAAAAAGCGGCAACATTCACACAATTAAGAGGTGAAATAGCGGGAATAAAACACGCACACATACACTTCTATACAATTCAAATGGCTTTTTTGGCTTGGTATAAATTTCTACGGTATCATTCCGAGTTTACAAAAAGGGCTAAAATTCAATTTACTACACAGATACTACACAGCTAGCCCTCAACTTGCAGCCATTTGCTTAGTGACAGTTGCCAGTGAGGTCGTAAAGCGAGGCAAAACTCGCTTAGTAACCGAAATGTTGGGTTTACTCGTGGTCGTAAACCAAGGACTATCTGTTTATCGGGAATGTTTAAGCAGCCGCTCGGTAGATGACCAAAGGGGGACTGGCATCGTCGGGGACTACAACTCCCAGAATTCCTCGGTCCAGGAGAGCATGCTCTCAAGGAATGCTGGGAAATGGAGTCCCCAGAGGCCAGAGAGTGCCAGCTTAGACAGGGGTCTTCAAACTTGGCACACTGGCTGAGGAATTCTGGGAGTTGAAGTCCCCAAGTCATAAAAGGCCCCAGATTGAAGACCTTTGGCTTAAAGCATCCTGGCTGAGGAATTCTGGGAGTTGAAGTCCACCAGTCACAAAAGGGCCCAGTTTGAAGATCCCCTGTCTTAAAGCATCCTGGCTGAGGAATTCTGGGAGTTGAAGTCCACCAGTCACAAAAGGGCCCAGTTTGAAGATCCCCTGTCTTAAAGCATCCTGGCTGAGGAATTCTGGGAGTTGAAGTCCACCAGTCACAAAAGGGCCCAGTTTGAAGGCCCCTGAGAGTCTGGATCCAAGCCCACAATGTCATCAAAATGGCTGACTGAGGAATTCTGGGAGTTGAAGTCCCCCAGTCATAAAAGGGCCTAGTTTGAAGACCCCTGAGCTTAGAGGAGGCTGACTGAAAGACGGGGGGGGGGGGTCTTCTTGTGAGACTGCCTTGCCCCGCAGGGTTGTTGTGGTGGGAGGTCACATGACTGGCCAAGCCCCTCCCCCAGCACCCAGGTTTGCTCTAAGGAAGAGGAAGGGAGGGGCCTGCCTCGCAGGGGTGTCGCTGGCCAGGAGCATCTGAGGCTCTAAGCAGCCCCTGTGGGGGCTGCTGTTTCAATAGAGAGGGGGAGAGGGATCTACTGGATCCCCCGGGGTGGGGACAGTCCTGGGGAGGGGGAAAAAACCTCCTGGATCCCTGGGCAATGACCGTAGGGAGTCGCCGGGGATCCCTTGGGGGAGGGGCAGTCAAGGAGATCTCCTGGATTCCTTGGCGTGGGGAGATGGGGAACCCCTCGATCACCTGAGGAAGGGGCCAATCATGAGGAAGGGGACCTGCTAGATCCCTTGGGGGAAGGGCCAGTCAGGGGAGGCCCTGCCTCCCCTGGGATGGGGCAGGGGTAAAGGGATCCTCTAGGGTGGGGGGGAATCGTGAGGAAGGGGAGCTACTGGATCCCTTGGGGCAGGGAAATTGGGGATCGGGGCAGGCAGGGGAGAATCTACTAGACTCCCCCCAAGAGCCAGGGGGCAGTCAAGGGATCTACCAGATCCCTGAAGTGCCTGTGTGTGTGTGGGGAGATTCTCCTGAATCTCCTGGGACTGGAGAACAGGGGAGGAGATCTGCTGGGTTCCTTGGGGGTGAGGGGCAGTCAGGGGATACCCCACAGTGTGAGAGTCGGGGGAGCGACGAACCCTGGATCCCCCCCCGAGGCAGAAGGCTGTCGGGAAAAGAGGATCTTCTGGATCCATTGGGGCGGGAGGGGGTGGCAGTCAGAGGGATCGCCTGGAGTGGAGCAGATAGAAGAGACGGGTCTAATGGCTCCACTGGGGGCGGGGAAGGCTGGATCCCGGCGGGCAGAGGGGCACAAGAGATCCCCTGGAGTGGGACAGGGATCTCCCAACTCCACTGGGGACAGGGGAACTGGATATTGGGGGGGAAGAAGGGGCACAAGAGATCCCCTAGAGTGGGACAGGGATCTGCTGGTTCTACTGGGGGGGCTAGGAGGCTGGATCCCGGCAGGCATAGGGGTACAAGAGATCCCCTGGAATGGGACAGGGATCTCCCAGCTCCACTGGAGATGGGGGGGGGACTGACTCCCAACAGGGCAGAGGAGCACAAGGGATCCCCTGGACTAGGGCAGGGATCTCCCAGATCCACTGGGGACCAGGAGACTGAATCCTTGGGGGGGCTAGAGCGGCTCAAGGGATCCCCTGGAGTGGGACAGGGATCTCCTAGCTCCATTGGAGGCAGGGGGGAGGGGGCTGGATCCCAGGGGAGGTGCAGAGGGGGCACAAGGAGTGGGTCAGCCAGGGAAGGGGAGGGGTCTCCTGGGGGTCAGTGGGGATGGTGATTGGGGGGATGTGTGTTTGTTTGTGTGTGTGTGTGTGTGTGTGTACAGAGAAAGAGCAAAAGGATGGGGAGGCCCACCCCCTCCCCCTCTGGTCCCCTCCCAAAAAATCGCCCCTCCCCCGCTGGTGGTCTCCCCCTCCCATCCTCCCCATCTCCCCTTCCTCCATCGCTGGGGTGGGGGGAGTGGGCTAAGGAAGACCCCCACCCAGCCTGTCCCCCTCCCTCCTCCAAGTCCCCCTCCCCTCTCTCCTCCAAGGCCCCCCACCCAGCCTGTCCCCCTCCCTCCTCCAAGCCCCCTCCCCTCTCTCCTCCAAGCCCCCAACCCAGCCTTTCCCCCTCCCTCCTCCAAGC